ACAGATAAAGACTCCAGAAAAGAACTCTGATATGGCAGAAAACAGTCAGAAGGAAAAGAACACTGAAAAAAATACCGATCAAACAGAAATTAATGTCCGAAATAAGAGCACCCAAAAGAAACCAGATGAAACTGCAAGAGGTGAGCGACAACAATCAGACGCTCCGAAGAATTTGGACCAAGAGAGTAAATCTGAAGGTGATACAGTGCTCGATAAAACTGACAAAGGACAGGTAGAGGATAACATGGATCAAAGTCAGGACAAGGTTACCGGACAAGCTTCTGATGAAAAAAGAACCGAGGGCCAGGCAAAGGCACAGGATTCTAAGGAGCTATTTCCCTCTGGAGCTCAATCTGAGCTGCTTACTGAGACCAATCCCCAGAATGGAGCTTGGTCTACGCAAGCTTCTGAGTCAAAAAATGAGAAGGAGAAACAAGCATCTTCTTCATCAAAGGGACAAGGTGTTAATTTCAGCTGGAAACTCTGTAATGTCACTGCTGGATCAGATTACATACCTTGCCTTGACAATGAGAAAGCTATCAAAAAGCTCCATAGCACTAAGCATTATGAACACAGAGAGAGACATTGCCCCGAGGAAGCTCCAATTTGTCTCGTTCCTCTGCCGGATGGATACAAAAAGTCAATCGAGTGGCCTAATAGTAGAGACAAGGTATCCAAAGTTAATTTAATTTAATTATTTTTTGTCTTCAGAAACGTTATTCCTTTTTTCTGATGACATATCTACTGCAGATATGGTATCACAATGTCCCTCACACGAAGTTGGCTGTTGTAAAGGGACACCAAAATTGGGTTAAAGTTTCTGGGGAATATCTGACTTTTCCAGGTGGCGGAACTCAGTTCAAGAATGGTGCATTGCACTATATTGATGTCATTCAGGAGGTAACTTTCCTCGCATTTCAAGTCTTCGTTTCCACAGATACTTTTGTACACGAGTCATTCCCGAAACCATACTTCATATGGTTCTGAACTAGTTTCAAATCAGCTTATCTATCCGTTGCTTTGAACGATTGAATATACTCTTCACTTCATATTTTCGTGTTTGTATGGCCTTTGATGCATATACCTTTCACCAACACTGTAGAGAATGCCACGTGTATCGATTAACCTGTAATTATGCACAGATATATTAGGAACCAGATATGCCTGTTCCAAGAAGTTTCTTTTATTTTTCTAAGGAAAATTCCCAGGATTGTATAGGGACCTCCTTCAAACATAGTTTTATATTTGTCTATTCTGTGTAAATTTTTTCTCTTCAACAACCGTTGCTTCTTGAGAATTGCTAGTCACACATATGTGATATATTTAGATTCATATGTACTAATCCTTTCATCCTTTCAAAATAAAAGAATCTACAATCCTTCCTTCAGCACGAACAAATCTCAGCTTCTTGTTTAATTTTTTTTGTGTGTTTCAGGCTTTGCCTGATATAGCATGGGGAAAACGAAGTCGTGTTGTATTAGATGTTGGCTGTGGAGTCGCGAGCTTCGGAGGTTACCTCTTTGACAGAGATGTGCTTACCATGTCATTTGCTCCGAAAGATGAGCATGAAGCCCAGGTGCAATTTGCTCTTGAACGGGGAATTCCCGCGATATCAGCTGTCATGGGCACAAAAAGACTTCCTTACCCTGGCAGAGTGTTTGATGTTGTCCACTGTGCCCGCTGTAGGGTACCATGGCATATAGAAGGCATTCTTACTCTAAACATTAATTTTCTTCTTTTTTTTCCAAACTATCTTCAGGATTATTTAGGAGGTATGTTGCAGGTGGTAAGCTTTTGTTGGAATTGAACCGCCTACTTCGACCTGGTGGGTACTTTGTCTGGTCTGCTACTCCAGTTTACCAAAATCTCGAAGAAGATGTGGAAATCTGGAAAGGTAAGACTATTTCAAAAATGGCAATTGAACCACTATTTTTGAGGATCATGCTGATTGAAATACAAGCTTAGTTTGTTTCACATTATTTAACTTGTGAATCATGTGGTAATTGATGCCAGCCATGAGCAGCCTAATGAAGTCCATGTGCTGGGATATGGTGATCAAGACAAAGGATGATGTAGACCAAGTTGGTCTAGCAATATTTAGAAAGCCTTCTAACAATTCATGCTATGAGAACAGACAAGAAAGCAGCCCTCCATTCTGTAAAGAATCCGATGATCCTAATGCAGCATGGTAAAATTATAGGGGGTTGAGCTTGTGCTTCTTCTACTACAAATATGTAAACTTTGTAAACTTGGCACATTTCATTTGTGCAGGAATGTTCCTTTACAGACCTGCATGCACAAAATTCCAGTAGGTGCTGCTGCTCGGGGGTCCAAGTGGCCAGAAAAGTGGCCACTGAGGTTGGAGACAGCACCTTACTGGCTGGATAGCTCTCAGACAGGAGTATATGGTAAACCTGCTCCTGAGGATTTCAAAGAAGACCAAGATCATTGGAATAATGTTGTTGGCAATTCATATTTGAATGGCATGGGAATTGATTGGTCTAAAGTGCGAAATGTTATGGATATGAGAGCTGTATATGGAGGGTAAGAGAGCTGCACCCTGTTCTATAAAATTCTGCAACCTCTCTAGTTAACAATGCTTACAAACATTGCCCTATTTTTATAAGTTCCACTAGTAAAAAAGGATAACATTATCTTTACCTTTTCTGTTTGTGACTTTATAAAAAAACGAAAAATGGTAAAGGAAAAAAAGAGAAGATGAAAAGGAAGGTATTTACGGTGCCATTGATATTATCTTTACTAATTTTGTTTTAACTAATTTTACCTCCTATATCGATGTTTTAGTACTGACCTGTCTCTCAGATTTATTTGTAATTGTAGTATCATACGAAATATGTCTTTTATGAGTTTTCAATGAGTTTCAATGTTATTATAACTATAATTATTATTTCAATGTCTATTGCCTCATTTGTATTATATAACACTTGAATTCTACTACATGAGATGAACAAGTACGTCTTTGTTTACTTACGATTAAATTGATGATATTGTTTTGAACAGGTTTGCTTCAGCTTTGCGGGACATGAAGTTGTGGGTAATGAATATAATCACAATCGATTCCCCAGACACACTTCCTATTATATATGAGCGTGGACTCTTTGGGATGTATCATGATTGGTGTGAATCTTTCAGCACCTACCCGAGATCATATGATCTCCTACATGCAGACCATCTATTTTCCAGGATCCAAAAGAAGTAAGTTATGCACAGATTTCACATACTTGCAGCTCAATTCCCTTCCAAAGTGAACCACTAGATTTCTTGAATCTAGTCTCTTTTATTTACATATTGTCAACTTATTTACACAACCTGTCCAGGTTGAGCTTAAAAGAATGAATTATTTTCGGCAAATTCTTGCCATGTACTCTCACAGTTTCAGCCTTAATGAATGTACAACCTGTTTGGCATAAGAAAAATAAAAATAAAATAAAATATTGATATCCAGATTGTCAACGTCTCTAACCATTACACCAAAACTCCAAAGTTGTCGTGAGGGTTGAGGGTTATGGTTTTATATTCTAAGATGCCCCGCAAATTGAGCGACTTTTTTATGGGCCGAAACCTAGACTCACACATCGGTATCAACTTTTTAGAAAATCTGGTTTAAATTCATGATTGGTGGGATATGAATGAGGATTGCTATGATACCATGTCAAATTCTCTTACAATTACACCAACACTCCAAAGTCATGATGAGGATTGAAGGTTATAGTTTTATATTCTAGCACAAACCCTGTAGGAGGTGTCAAGTGGCGATGTGCCTAATTCTTAGAACTAAAAACAAACCTGAACACCTCTGCATATGATTAATCTCACCTAAACAACTTTGCCATATTTGATTCAAAACATTATATATCAGGTTTTTAGGTAGTTCTAAATTTCAGATGTCACTTCATACAATGCCAAAAACAGGACCTATTCACCTCGTCTCTCAAGCCATAGCCTTTATGCCTGATTCATTCATTGCAATGAATCATTTAGATTCCTCGTCTCCCTTTATCAGCAGAAGATAAATCATGTTCATGTGGCCATGTCTAATGCTTTTTAAGCGCAACTTAATTATTTTAATATAAACTAGTATTCCGGTGCACGCAATGCGTGCATGTGATATAGAATATGGGGTAAGTGGTAGTGGACTTGTCAAAGGAATGAATAGTTTCTTAGATTTGTGTGTACTTTCTCCAAGTGTGGGGGTGTTTCCATATTCTTTTTCGTAGTTTTAGGGCATTTATGTAGCTTGTTTCCAGTGAGGTGCCATTTCTTAGTTTTTTTTTCCCATGGGAGAGCGTTCAGGCATTGAAAAAATGTGCTCACACAAACCAAATGGGGATTCTCTTAATATATAGTATAGAAGTATAGATTTGCACCAGTCATTCGCCGTCCACAATGGTTAAATCATAGTTGACGAATCCCATATTCTCCGTGTTATGGCAATATTTTGATGGTAAGGTCTAGTTGATAAAATCAGTGGGCTTTGGTCATTGAATCCCAGGTTCAACTTGATTATGGCATAGTTCACCATAGTACTAATAAGAGCGACCTGCCATTTCAGCATTCGTGCAACATGACCATGTTTCTTTTTTCTTTCCTTTCCTTTTTTTCCGAGGGAAATAAGGTCTTAGTCATTATTATTATGAGAAAGAAAGATTAAAGTACAAAGGATGTTTATCTAGAGATAGCTTGATGCTGAGGGTTAATACATAAGAAAACCTCAAACTTAACTAAAATTCAGCATGTCACAGTATCTGAAGTATTCTGGGAAAGATCCTAGAGAGGCTGTATTAGGCATCTCATTGTCCTTAAAATCCTGAAAACAAAGTGACACCAAATATTGTTATGCTTTGAACTTCCTCTTTACTTCCTTTACTTAATTTTCTCCTACTTTCAGATGCAAGGTATTGCCATTAATGGCAGAAGTAGACCGGATGCTGAGACCAGAAGGGAAGCTTATTGTAAGGGACAGTGCAGAAGTGATCAATGAGGTCGAGAGAATTGCAAAATCTTTGAACTGGGAGATCAAAATGAGCTTTTCTAAGAAAGATGAAGGGATACTTTGTGTCATGAAGACGACGTGGCGGCCTAAGGAGCTAGATGCAAGGAGCTAGAGGCCAGTATATTTCGACCATGTCTTTTAAATATTTTTGATGAAATTCTTGCCTTTTTGTTCTTGCTTACTGTGTTGTGTTGCTTCTGAGAAGGGAGAGATGTATTGTATATTACATTATAAATTTGTTGTAGAATTTATACAAATTTTGGTGAAAGACTTGGCAAAGTTTGAATAGAATGGCACAAATAGACTGGTCTCGGTCATTTTTTGTCAAAGAGTTCCTAATGTTAAATAGACTGGTCTTGGTCATTTTTGTCAGAAGAGTTCCTAATGTCCCTGCTGCTTGAGC